TGGGTATTTCATAGATGTCCTGTATCAAGTTGAGGTAATTCTCTTTCAGTCCTAGTCTTTGAGTGTTTTCTTGTTGTTGTTATTGTTTTCATGAAAAGATGTTCGATTTGCCAAGTGATTTTTTAAGTCTTGAGGTGATCATATTTGTTCTTTACTTTATTGATATGGTTTGTGACATTGATTGATTTTCAGATGTTAAACCCTGCATTCATGGGATAAATCCCACTTGGTTACGGTGTATAATCTTTTAATATGCTGTTGCATTTGGTTTGCTAGGACTTTTATGAGGATATTTGCATCTATTTTCCTAAGAGATATTGGTTTAGTTTTTTCTTCTTGTGATATCATGGTTTGGTTGTGGTATTAGGGTAATACTAGCCTCATAGAATGAATTTGGAGGATTTTTCTTTTGTCTTCTATTTTTTGGAAGAGTTTGTGAAAGACTGATATTAACTTTCTTTAAATGTGTGTTAGAAATTACCAATGAAGCCATGTGAATCTGGTTTTTGTTTTTTGTTTGTTTGTTTGTTTTTTGTTTTTACTTTTATTAGCATTTATTTGATGTTGAATTTACTCCCGGGCCATAAGTGTTTGTTTCTTCAGTTTCTTCTGGGAGATCTTTTTCTTCTGTGCAACCTCCTCTTCTGGTTTAGGAACAATTTGTTCCCTCTCAGTTAGGATCATCTCAATGTGGCAGGGAGAGCTCATGTAGGGGTTGATCCGTCGATGAGCTCTGTAAGTTCTGCACCACATCTTGGGAGCTTTATTTACTTGGATGTGCTCTATGACTAGAGAATCTACATCTAAACCCTTAAGTTCAGCATTACTCTCTGCATTTTTAAGCATGTACAGTAAAAATTCTGCACTCTTTTTGGGCCACCGACCCTGCGTCCAACCCCACTGTTTGGCCTGGGCACACCTCCCAACTCCACCATTGTAACGACGGAAGGGCACACATTATTTTTGTAATGTGGCATCCATTAGATACTTGGTGGCTTTTTGGATATGCATACCCTTGATGGCCTGGGCAGTTTCACGAGTGTTCTTAAAATGAACCCGTAGATTTGAACCTCTCAATTTACATGATTTTGTGGGGTTCTCCGGGTCAAGAGAATAGCGAACAATTTTGAGAGATCACCTCAGGCCGCTTTTGGGAAGAGGTGAATCTGTTTCGAAACCTCCAATGGAGAAAGTTTTGAAATAACTAATTCAATCTTTTTACTTGTTATAGGTCCATTCAGATTTTCTATATCTTATTGAATCAATTTTGATTGTTTGTGTTTTTCTAGAAGTTTGTTCATTTCCATCACTGTTTTTTTTTTCATGGGGACTTGAATTATTCTCCGGTGTCACTTGTTTTCAACCTAAATAACTTCCATTAGTATTTCTTATATGGCAGGTCAGCTAGCAATTAAGTCTCTGTTTTTGTTTATCTGGGAATATTTTTATTTCACCTTTATTATTGAAACAGTTTTGTTGGCTATGATTCTTGGTTGACACCGTAGCCTCTGGCCTTCATTATTTCTGATTAAAAGTCAGCTGTTATTCTTTATACACAATGAGTCATTTTTCTTTTGCTGCTTTCAACATGTTTTCTTTGTCCTTCATCAATTTGACTATAATGTGTCTGGGTGTGCATCTCTTTGTTTTTATCCTACCTGGAGTTTGTTAAATTTCTTGGATGTGTAGGTTAATGTTTTTCATCAAGTTTTGGAAGTTTTCAGCTATTATTTCTTTGAATATTTTCTGCACCCTTCTCTGTGTCCTGTCCTTCTGGCACCTCTACTATGCACATCGCAGTGGACTTGATGGTCTCCCATGCTTCTCAGTGGCTCTGTCATTTTTCCTTATTCTTTTTTCTCTCTGCTCTTCGGATTGCATAATTTCTGTTTATCTGTATTCAAGTTTGTGGATTATATCTTTCTTTTTGCTCTGAAATCTTTGTCTGTTAAGTCCAACATCTAGGTATCCTCAAAGTTACTTTCTATCCCCTGCTTATTTTCCTATGTATGGGTCACTCTTTCCTGTTTCTTTTCACGTCTCAGAAATTTGTGTTGAAACTGGACATTTTAGATAATACATTGAAGAAATTCTGAATGTTGATTGCCCTGGACCTTGTCATGCTGTCGTTTGCTTGTTTACTTGTTTATTTGTTTAGTGATTTGGCTTGACCTGGCTAAATTTTATGAGCTCTGCAGTGTGCAGCTGCTGATGTTGCTCCTCAGAGGATGTGGATAGTCACTCTGATCTCACAAGTGCCCTCCCCCCCCCAAAAAAAAAAAAACTAGCCAGGTTCTCTCTGTCTCCTTCTCTGATCTTTCCATGAAGCTTCTGGCTGTTCTGCCTCTATTGGTATCTCTCAACTGTTAGCTTTCATTAGCTGCTTTCTGACTGCTGTGTTGTTTTTGATAATGCCCTGGGGTATGACTTGTCTACACTGTGACCCAGTTAAATTCTGGGCCCTTCATAGAGGCAGAGTTGTCAGCCTTTGAGGCTTGCTCAGACCCCAGGAGGGCTCTTGGCTGTCTTTTTCCCCGGCCCTCTTGGTTACAGTTCTGTTGGTTTACCATTTTATTTCCTGCTACTCGTATCATTGAGCTACGGGCCTCCTCTAATTGCTCACTACCAAAATTTCTATTGTTTTCGACAATGCCTTTAGGCATGAATGTCCTCATGCTCTGTTCCAAATAAAGCCATTTCCCTCAGGGAGAACTATGGAACTCTTTGTTTTGCTTTCCCTGCCCCCTCCCCCCACCCGCGCCCAAAGACCACTGCACCACTATACCGGAGCTAGGAGTAGAGTGGCCCCCTTCTCTCAAAGTGACACTCCTGGTCTACAAGTCAGAGAGGGATGGTAACCCCTAGTTTTATTGGCTTGCCTTCTTCAGCATGGAACCTCTGCTGTACAAGCAAGCTGGGGAAGGGTCTATCGGAGTCCAGTATGCTTGACCTGCCATACCTGGGGTAGAACCTCCACCCTGGGAGTAGGGACTGAGTAGGCAAGCGTGTCCCAACCCTCTTGGCCAATCTTACCTGGGACAGACGGTGTGTAACACAGAGTTGGGAGGTATTAGAGGTGCCAGTGGCCTGCCTTTCCCGGGGTGAAACTGTAGACCTAGCCTGGGAAACTGTAGCCCTAGTGGAGAGGGAACTCGTCTTCTAAGCAGCCAAGATTCCATCACACTGAGCTGAGGAAGGGATGGAGAGGGCTGTGGCTCAAATGCCATAGACTTCCACTGTTCTTACCAAGATTTAGCAGATTTTCTTGAATAAACCATTTTCTCCATTTATTGTATTGACCTTAGGACAATTTTCAGATACTTAATATGGTTGTTTTTAAAAAGTAATTTTCACCAGTTAAATGGTTGTTTTACCGAGGAGAGAGTTCACCAAGCTCCTTATAACTCCATTCTAGAAGTTTCCATTTGCTGTCTGTTTTTGTAAACAAAGTTTTATTGGAACACGGTCACCTGCATTCATTTACATGTTGTCTGTAGCTACTTTCATGCTCCAATGGCAGATTTGAGCAGCACTGACAGAGATCGCAAAGCTTGCAAAGTCTAAAGTACCGTATTTGCCGGCGTATAAGACGACTGGGCGTATAAGACGACCCCCTAACATTTCCACTCAAAATACAGAGTTTGTTATATACACGCCGTATAAGACTACCCCCTCTTCCGCACACCTTCCACACACCAAATAAAAGGTAAAACAATATCAGATTTGATTTCAACATTTTAATTTATATTCAAATGCTTATGACATGCAGGAAAACTGTCACAAGGCTGTATGTAATCAAACATATACATAAAACAGTGCAACTTTATTACCGGTAAACATACCGGTAATTCACTAAAGAAAACACACTCTATAGACTGGTACCGTAGATTTTGCGAGTGTGGTAAAATCGCATAACAGCAAAATCGCATAACAGCCGAGCATACACCCAGCAGCGCTGCTGATGCCTGAACGGTATGTGGAATGAAGTGGGCGGGCATCGGGAGGCCACTATGGCACGGGGCAAGCACTATGGGCAGTCTATCTGAAGTGTACCTGGCGTATAAGACGACCCCCCACTTGGAGGCATATTTTTCAGGGCCAAAAAATCGTCTTATACACCAGCAAATACGGTAGTTACTCTCTGGCCCTTACAGAAAACGTTTGCTGAGGAATGACTGCACTATCTTTCTATTCTTTCTATGGAAAACAACACTACAAAATTATTGTTATATGAAGAGATGAAAGAGTATGCAGTGAGAATTGCAGGAAAACTTGTGTCAGTCAATTCATTTGAAAAAAAATCATTGTTCTCTGCTTTGGGTTGTTTGTGGTATTGGTCAGTTTTTAAATTTTTAATTTTTTGTGATGTCTTCTCTTATTCTAAATCAAGATTCCACTTTATACCTAATTTGGTATTTTTAATTTTGCAATCTTCTTAAAATAGGCCCCTGAATTGTGTAAGCTTCCTCCCCATGGGAGAAAGGGAGCCGTGTGATCCGATTCAAGTTGTAGAATTGTGTTCCCTGCTCTCCAGTACTCTATTCACTATATTTATGAATTTTTACCATGTCAGCATACCACCTGAACTTCATTTCCATATTTTCTTTAAATTGGCTTTTTTTTACTTAAACAAGTAATTCTTATACATCTCTGGGGTCACTGGCTTGATGTGCGGCTTGCATCTTTTTGAGTGTTCCCTGTGTGGGCACACATGTGGCTTCACCCTGGAGACATGGTGTGGGCAAACTCTGGCTGGAGGGACAGAGTAGGCTGGACACGGTGTGGAGGATGGTGGGAGGCCAGGGCGGTGGTTAGGGGGACCTGGGGGGTGCCAGGCCAAGACCTCATTAGGCCTCCCGAGGGGTGTAGAGCTTCTAGGGGTGACTATGACATCCTTTTCCTATGTCTCCAGGGCCAGGCAGTCTTCATGGGCACTGCAGGATGAAAGGGGTGGGGGACTTGTGAACGATGAGTCAAGGAAGTGACCTTCTGTCTTTTAGCACTGCTTTAAAGGACATTGCATCTGGCTGACGCCTGACATCCTCAAACGGGACGGCAACTGGGGTGCCTGGAGTCCATTCGGCTCCTGCTCGCGCACCTGTGGCACAGGTGTCAAGTTCAGGACCCGCCAGTGCGACAACCCACAGTGAGTTGGCCCTGATGTTTCCCAGCTTTCCTGGGTAGCAGCTGCCATCCCCAAGGCACCTCGCTATCCTGCAAGGCCCCTCCAGATCTACACTGGCTCTGGAGAGGTCACAAGGGCCAGCAGCCCTGTCCCTTTCTCACCCTCCTTGGGACAAAGCTGAGACTCAGAGAGGGAAGGCTCATGGCCCAGGTCATACACCCTTCTCAGGGCAGAGCCGGCCCTGGAGACCTGGAAACTTGGGTCTCCTGACCGGCTGGCCTGGGCCATACCCCAAGCTGACCTGCACCCTCCTTTAGACACTGGCTTACTCTGCCCTTTTTGGTCAAATCATTGAGGATAGAAGGTGGAACAGACACCAGGAATTGGGAATAAGGAGGAGGAGAGCAGTCTTGGGTCCCAGGATGCCAGGAGCCTGAGCAGGGGAGCAGCTGTTTGCAATCAGGCGGAGGGGCAGGGGCAGCGACATGCTACCTGTGCCCAGCTGCTCAGGGGAGAGACAGTCTGGAGAGGCTGCCCCCGTGCCCACCGGACTCCCACCTCCAACCATGCTCCCCCTCCTGTTTCTCAGGCATGGGGCCTGCTGTGCTGTCATCCCAACCCGTCCCTGTCTCTCTCATTTTCCCCCACCCACCCCACCTTATAAAAATCTCTCTGGCCCATGCTCTTCCTCAGCCCGTGGCCATTCCCTTATTCGTGCCCAGCCCACTCCTCCTGCCTGAGCCCTTGGCCTGGGCCTCGCTCAGTGCAGTGCCCACGAAGAGGGAGGGTGCGGAGCCAGAGCCCCTGGGCCCTGGGCCCCTGCAGCCCCATGTGATTAAGGGTGGGTCAGTTAGCCCCCCTGCCAGCAGCCTGCCCTTAGGGTTATTGTGGGTGCAGCTACCCTAATGTGAAGGGTCTGGCGTGCAGGAAGAAGCCCCCACAGATGTCAGCTCACTGAACTGCCACCTGCCCGTTAGAGGCCCCTCAGCTGCCGGGAGACATGTGGCTTTTATCCTTCTTTCTTTGGCCTGTCCAGTGTTTTAAAGATTCTGATTTATGTGAAAATATTAAAAATCTGGAATTTCACATAAAAAAACAAACCTGATTTCTAGCTTCCAAATTGGGCACCATAGCCATGTCAGGCCCACATACAGGCTTGTGGGCAACTCAGGCTTTCCTGTTCCTGGGCAAACTCCCTCCCCACCCAGCCATCTTCACTCACCTCCTCCACCCACCCGAACCCCTTAGATATTTGGGTTGGGGCCCTAAACCCTAAACCTCAGTCCCAGGCTCATCACCCTTCTGTGGGCCCCGCCATGGCCTCAGCAGAAATTGTACATGACTTTCTGTGCATGTGCACTTTTCTGAGGGAGCAGGTCTCTAGCTTCACATCAATTTAGAGGAGACTGTGACCCCAAAATTTAAGCCCTGCAAGTCTCCGGGGCCCATCCAGACTGGCTGGGCTCCATGCTCTGTGCAGCTAACCTGGTGCATCTTCTCTGGCTAGGCCCTGAGCTGGCCACCAGGGAGCCAGAGGGGCTCAGCAGTCCCAGCTCTGGGGAGAGGGGTCAAGTCCATGTAGGCCAGGAAGGCTCCAGCAGTGAGGTACCTGTGCCTGGTGCGAGCCACCTCAGCTCTCCTGCAGCCCTCTCCTCCCACTTTTGTCTACCTCCTGCCCGGGGCTCCAGGATACTGCCCTGGCCAAGAGCAGGGGCAGGAAGGGGGCCCAACGTGCCCTGCCCCCGGCTCCCCTCAAGCAACCCTGGGTTATTGCACTTCCCTCAGGATGAGACTGCCAAGACAGGAAGTTAGAATTGCAGAGGCTTCAGGGTGCCGGGCGAGGACTGTGGGGTTCCCGTCCTGTGGTGCATGCAACAAGCGCTCAATGAGCGTGATTAGTCTCAGCTGCCCCTTCCTGTGCTGATGGAGTAAGTCAGGCCCAGGGTACACAGCTGAGAGAGCAGGTCTGGCCTGACTCCCCCATCCCTTACAGGCATCCAGGTGCTGACCCCTCCTGCTTGATGCTGGGCTTTTGGGTTCCAGGGGACTCACCCGCTGGCCTGGCCCTGGGGGGGCTCATGCAGTTTCTGAGTGGGGAGGTCCATGTTCTATCCCTTCTGACCTGCACACTCTAGGGATTTTATCCCTCCAGCTGGCCCAGACTCCACTCTGGCAGCAGGGGACAGGGGCAGCAGTGACAGGAGCAAAGGTGTCAGGACAGCCGACAAGCTCTTCCATTCACAAAAGCTGTCAGTCCCAGAGTGTAGCCAGCCCCTGCCCAGTGCCGGCATTCTCTGGGCATCAGTGACTGTCAGACAGTGTGGATGCTGTGACAACTGTTTATTTACGCTGGCCTCACCCACATCAGTGGGACACACACGGCTATAGTTACCAAGCATTTCCAAGCTCACAGGCTCCACACAGCCTTTGTCACCAATGCAAGTGACCCCATGGGCCGCCCCTTTCACTCGATCTCCACATGATGAACGCTGGACCTCACGCTGTCCCATTTTAGTTACTACTCCCTGTGCTAATCTGCAGCTTCCCCATGACACTGGGACAAGTGTGAAGATGCTTGCACAGTCTCTAGCTGGACCCTGCTTGCAAGATTGAGTTCCCACAGCGTTCCTCGCTGCCTCCCACTCTTGTGATTGAGAAACTCCAAATAAGCTAGTCTCCAGCTCTTCACTTGTTCTTCCCCACCCCAAATTCTCCAGCTCATACTCTGTTTTGGAGTTTGTCACATGGATTTCCATTCTAATCAGTATGCCTCCTGCCTGGGCTGCCCAAGGACTCCAATGACAGCCCAGCCCTTCCTGCTGTCTCCCCCAGTCACGCCCCAGTGCCCCGGGCTCCCCACACCTGCACCCAGGCTTGCACCCCCTCTGCTGACACCCTTGTTGGTGTTGTCATTAATCCGTAGTCCCATCAGTGACCCTGGTGTCAGTCTCATAGGTGCTCTTTCTTTCAGTCTCCCATCAAATACTGAGGCCCCTTGGTTCTTCCTCCACAAATTTCTCCAGTCATTATTTCCACTGACTCCCTCAAGAACACAGCACTCTGTGAGGGGCCTTGTGGAGGCCAGCTCCTTTCTGGTCCTCTCTACTGTGCTGCAACAGCAGTTACTGACCCTTGTCATAGGCAAAGCATGGCTTTTGATCAAGTCTCAGGTGGGACCTCGGGTTCAGCTTGGCTCTGCCACTCCTGGCTGATGGCGACACTGAGGCCTGCCACCCACCGCCCTTCAAATGCACCTGCCAGCCCACTGCTGGAGCCTTTTCTATGGCTCTAGTGCTTTATGGGCCAGTGCTGCTCTCAGCAAAGTGAGGGAATTACAGAAACACAGCCCAAATTCCCTGAAGTGGGAAAAGGTGGACAGAGAGTCCACTGTGTGCCTGCGCTGATGAAGAGCCCGCGCAGTGGGTTTCTGCTATTTCAGAACTGCTCTTTAAGCTTCCACGTGGGTCAAGTATAGACCCAGGCCTGGATGTAGAGGAAACTCACCACAGGGCCCTGAGGGAGGATTATCAGCCTTCTGTGCTTGGTGCTCTGGGGCTGAGAGCCTGGGGGACTGCCCCAGTCCTGTGGCTGGGACAGGGCATAGCTGGGTCCCTTCACTCAACAGAGCTGCCAATGACACGTGAGATTCAGGGCTCCCCCAAATCCCACAAGTAGCGCCCTGAGTGCTGGCCTCTTCCTTGTGGCGCCGACCTGCGAGCCCTTTTCTCTGTCCTGCAGCCCTGCCAATGGGGGCCGCACCTGCTCAGGTCTGGGCTACGATTTCCAGCTCTGCAATTCCCAGGACTGCCCTGACAGCCTGGCCGACTTCCGTGAGGAGCAGTGCAGGCAATGGGACCTGTACTTCGAGCACGGCGACGCCCAGCACCACTGGCTGCCCCACGAGCACCGGGATGGTGAGCCTCTCAGTGGAGGGCCCAGTGAGCCCAGTGGACAGGGCAGGTGGGCAGACTGGGGCTTGCCTCGTCTGGTGCCGCTGAGTCTGGGTGAGCAAGGCTGCTGGCTGACCGCGGGCTGCCAGCAGAGCCCACCCTGGTGGTGTGGCTGCTGGGCCTCCCGGCAGGACAGCAGTCCCAGAGGAGTCAGAAAACGGCCTGGCCAAGGATGCAGAGGGCAGGGGGAGGAGGCGCAGAGAATGCCCCGCTCTTGCTGTCGCCACCTGGTGGATGAGGCTGGAGTTGTGCTGTGAGGCCCACTCAGGAATGGCAGTGGAAACGGAACTGGGCCGACCCTGCCAAGGAGACAGGTTACCTCTAGCCCAGATTACCTTTAGCCTTCTGTTTTTTCAGTCAAAACTCAGTTTCAAGTGTCAAAAAAACACTACTCGAACTGCTTTACGCATTAAAAGGCATTTATTGGCTCCTAGGAACTGAAAAGTCGGGTAGCTTCAGACATGATAGTGTTTGTATTCCATTTGGGTCCCCCTTCCCTCATGATGGAATTTTAAACATACAGTTTCTGTTCCTCCCAGGCTTTGGGCAGGAAGGGCCTGGCCTGGGTCTTCTCCGCTGTCTCCATCATGCCAGCATGTTACACCCCTCAGAGAGGAGTGCCAGATCAGACAGAGTCCCCTTTGAAGGCAGGCTGGCTGCAGCCTCATGGGCAGGGTAAATGGCAATGAAATAATGACCCAGTGTTGTAGTAACTTCTGAGAGAAATGCAGATAAGGGAAGGTGCCAGGGACCTGAGACTGAATCAAAGGGCATCTGGCCTTATTTGGGGTTTCAGAGAAGACTGACTGAAGAGGGCCTTCCGGTGGAGGGCTGGCAAATAGCCAGTTAGTTACCTTCCCCCAGGGGTCGGGGTCTCTGGGTGGAGCCTTGGGGGCCCGAGGCCCAGGCTGCTCCAACAGTAGCCTCGCTCAGCTGGGAGAACCTCTTCCTAAATCCAGTACTCCAGGGTCAAAGGCCCCAAGACAGAGACACAAAGGGGGTTGCAGTCTCCTGGCCCCTTTCCCTTTCCTGCCCCAGGGTAGGCGCATGTGTGTGTTCGGGGGTGAATTCTCAGAAGACCCTTCTGGGATTTTCTCTTGAGTGGACTTGGGAATGGAGGCGAGCGGTGCAGCCAGCACACCTCGCCAACACCCTGCTGCCTCGCTTACAGCCAAGGAGAGGTGCCACCTCTATTGCCAGTCCAAGGAGACCGGCGAGGTGGTGTCCATGAAGCGCATGGTACATGATGGGACGCGCTGCTCCTACAAGGACGCCTTCAGCCTCTGCGTGCGTGGAGACTGCAGGGTGAGTGTGGTGAGGCCAGTGCCAGGGTGGGCGTCTCAGGGTTGCAGCTTCCTGGGGTTGTCGTGAGGACTCATTGAGGTTAAGCATGCAGAGATGCAGAATGTCAGAAACAGCACCTGGAGTAGGGCAGCCTCTCAACAAATGCTAGTCTGCCCTCCCCTGTCCTGGGGGCTCTCAGCCTGGAGTTGCCTCAGAGCCACTGGGAGCTTGGGGCTCCTCCTGAGAGATTCTGACTCTTAGGGCAAGTTTTATGAGTTTTATGAGCTCCCCAGGCAATTCTGATGCACGTGGTCCTGAGGTGATCCCCTTCGAGGCACCGCCACATCCGTGCACTCCGCTGGGTACTGGACAGCTTACTTTGATCAGGGTGGGCCACCATGGGTCTTGCTGGTTTGGCTCTTGTAGAAATGACTACCGTATTTTCTGTTGTTATGTCTTTGGCTTCAATCTTAGGCTGACACAAGAAACAACTGTAGGGTAACCTCAGGATATAATAGTAACGTGAGCACAGACTGCCCCCTGCCAGGTTTCCTAGAAACAACTGAAAGCTTCTGTAGTTTGTGGAGACAAGACTGATTGTAGGTGTCACTGAGGCTGGTTCTCCTTAGGAAGTCTCTGGCAGAGAGCCTGACAGAATGCCGCAGGCACCCCTAGAAGAGGGGGTGGGGCTGCGTGAACAAGGAGGTTGGATGCAGGGCAGTTATAGACAGCGCTTCTGTCCACTCATGTGGGACCGCAGCTCAAGGTGAAAGAGGCTCCTCCAAGACGCAGGGGCAGGGGTGGGGGAGGCCGGCTCAGCTCGAGCCTCCCAGGGAGGCCGGGCCACACAGTCAGCTCAGATGGTGAAACTAAATCCCCAGAAACAAAGACAGCAGTGTTCCCTCTGCACCCACAGGGCTTTGATTTATGGAGGTGACTAAGTGAATGCCATTGAAAGAAGAATTTATTACTTACATTTCCCGAGAAAAGGGCATGCCAGGCCATGCAGGCCACATGGGGAAGCACCGGGTTTGGCCATGAGGCAGAAAGGAGAGAAAGCCTAGGCTGAAGTTTTCATTGGGGTTTCCATGGGAGCGGCAAGGCAAGGCAGGGGAAACAGTTTAGGACTGGCCAGTCTGAGTAATTCCAGCAGGCTTCAGCCATAGGGGTGCTCTCTAGTTGCCTGCTGCCAGGCTCTGGGATGATTCGGCAGGAGAAATATTGTTCTGTTGTGTGAGAGATAAAGCAGGTGGCTGCAGGATTGGCTTTTTGTGTCTGAAAGGAGCGCTCCCAACTTAGCCCTTGGCCATCTCTAAGAAGTGGCTAGTCCTGGGACATCAGAAGACACAGAAAATGTTAAAAAAACCATAACTAATACAGGCAGTAAGCTTGGTAAACAGTTAGTAGCAGAAGGAGCTTTAAATGGCAGCTATGAATATGGTTGCAAACATAACGGAGAAGTCGGAGCACTAATTCACCGTCTTGGTAGGAGTGGCTTAGAGCTGCACTCCTGACATTGACAATTGAAAAAGAGGTTAAGTATTCCGTTAATTAATGGTGATTTTGAATGGTAACAGCAAGGTGGTAGATTTTTGCATAGTTAGAAAACATATATATATTTGCATTTATATATGATCATATTGCAAAAGTTAGAAAACAGAGTAGACAGAAAGATTGAAACCACACAAAAGACAGGGGCAGTGGTAAGATGAACTATGTGAGTCCTAACACTACAGGTGAATATGAAACTCTTATTTTAAAAGAATCTAATACTGGGTGAAAAAAAATAGGATCCGAGTGGATGCTGTCAATTAGACAATATCAAAGCACAATGATTCAAAAGGTTTAAAGTGAAATGACAGCGAAAGACGTGTCAGGAAGATGAAAGTTGTGTGCACACATAACGTACATACACCGCAGGAAATCAAAACAGAACCAAGAATTAAATGAGGCTCATAGAGTCATTTTGATTTGATAAAGGGCACAATCCACTACCTTGATAAAGTAATAACATGCTATCAAATGTGTCATCTAAAAAAGGCTGTGAAAAAGGGAGAAATTGAAATAACTGGCACATTTCCTGATCTAATAACTCACCAATAAGATTTCAGAACAGATCTGAAGGGAGGAAGGCAGCACCTCATTAGCTATGTGTCCATCCCCATGAGACAGGCACCTGCCATCTCTACTAGCACCTCCTACCTCGGCTTGAACAAAAATGGAATCAAGCCATCAGCCTCCTGTGGTTGCCAGAGGTGGCCCACAGCAGCCATGCAGAGCAACTCAGGGACACATGGCCTTCCCCAACCTGACTTGTCTTTGGCCCCATTAACCCCTTTACAATCTAAAGTGAGATTTCAGGGGCTGGCCGAGTGGCTCAGTAGGTTAAGAGCTCGCTCAAGAGTTTGAGCTCTGAGCAACAGCGGTTCGATGCCCAGCCCAAGCTGAGCTGCCACTAAGCTGCCAATAGGTAGCAGGATGGCTCAGCTAAAAAAAAAAAAGTGAGATTTCATACCAGTAGAAGGACCCTGTGCTTCACTGGGCTCTTGGACTTGGTTAAAGTCTTAGTATCATTTCCCCCTAGTTCAGTTACAGACCGCTGGATATTAGACAGTGTCTCCTGAATATCTGTAGACACTTGCCAAGGATAGATGTTCCCCGAGCCAGGGATGGTGCCTGCCTGTGCCTGGATGGTCACACCACCTGAGATGAGCTGGCCAGCAACTGCCCAGACAAAAAATCCCTGTGTCAAACACTCGTCTTGGTGGCAGGCAGGGTCTTTTCAATTATTAGACAAGCCTTGATTTCAGAAATAGCAAGGTGGGAGGGATAAATGTGTTTTAGAATGAAGGAGAAATGGTGATAAGCCATTTTAATATTTCTCAAGGTTTGACAGGTCAAGTAGTTAATTTATTCTGTTTTCCTTTTGCTAACCTTCTGTTCTGTGACTTACAGAACAAAAGCTCAGTTACAGCAATTGTTTTCACACATACCATGTTTCATTTTCTCTTTGTCGGGTCATCCTTCTCCTCTTCTAACCAGTTGAATCCCTAGTTAGTGCAAGCTTGTTTAGAACATATGAGTGGATGAAGAAGTCCTAAGAGCTGATTCTGTACTAAGGCACCTGATCCCTGGGCTGACTTCGGTCAGGTCGGGCTCCAGAGTCCAGAGAGCACCTTCCCTGGCACCTGTGCACATGTGTGCTGGCAGCCACCTGCCTCCACAATACTGAGGCTTTGCCCTTCTGGCTATTTTGTAGGAGACCTAAGCATGAAGCCCCCACACATGGAGGCTGGAGCAACCCTTCTCCTAGGGAAGTGTCCCACTGACATTCTGCACCCAATTCCAGTGTGGGTTTCCCCCACACCAGCAGGCAGCTGGGTGTCCTACAATTCAACTCAATTCTGACACTGCTTACCTGGAGACAGCATCAGGTCCCACAGGTTAAGGGCTCAGCCCCACAAGACTTCCCCCCAGCCCCCACCCTTCAGACTCCCGGTTGCAAGTCCAGGTTGTCGTCTGTGCTTCTGACAAACTGCCTGGAGATTGGAGGTTTCCATGACCTCTTCCTTGGGTCTGATTAATTTGCTAGAGCCGCTCACAGAACTCTGAGAAACATGTTACTTACTAGAGCACCAGTTTATTATAAAAGAATATAATTCCGGAAGAGCCAGATGGAAGAGATGCACAGGGCATGTGGGAAGGGGCGAGTGGCTTCCATGCCCACCCTGAGCCCACCACTCTCCCTGCATCTCCACATGTTCACCAACCCGAAAGCTCTCCAAACCCCACCCTTTTGGCTTATTATGGAGGCTTCATTACATAAGTATTGTTAACCTAAAAATAAAAGGCATTTCAAAGTGAGAGGCAACAAACATTTATTTGAGATAAAAGAATAGCTATTCTGGAATCACTGATTCAGGCAGAAATCCAAATAGTGTTCCCATTAGGAGACCAAGGCAATTGGTATTTATGAGAAGGGAAAGGGGAACAATTATAACATATCAATAGAGGGAAGGCATTTCTATTGGGACAGATAACATAGTGATGTTAATTCTAAACAGTGTTTTTCATTTTCAGCCCAATAGTCATCAGTCCAGTAGTCATAATATCTGCTTTCTTGTTATCTTTGCAAACAAGTTCTTTGGGGCACAGTGTTGCTTTAGGCCCAGCCCAAAGGTTATTTTGCCATTTTAACATTCCAACAATTCCAGGTATAAGACGGTAAGGCAGTTCCTGAGGGATGGCAGCTCTGGCTCCGCTTTAAAGTGGCTCCATTTAGCTCCGCCTGGCTGCCTTCGAGCTGGGACATGGATCTTCTGCCCTCGGACTCTGACTCAGACTGGAATTTATACCCTCTGCTCCGCCTGGGTCTCTAGCTTGCTGACTGCAGGTCTTGACTTTTACGGATCTTGGCTTCTCAGCTTCCATAATCACATGAGCCAATTCCTTATAGTAAATCTACCTATTGATCAAGCAATAGATCAGTTGAGAGGGAGATGATAGATGATAGATAGATGATAGATAGGCAGATAGACAAGATAGATATCCTGTTGGATAGCTGTGTCACTCATTCTTTCTCTGGAGAACCCGTAGTAATACATCTACTAAATAAAATAGAATTTTTCTTAAAAAAAGAAAGTGGCTCCATTGAATATTTTTTTACAGTATGATTGATTAAATCATTGGTCATTGGTGATTGATTCAATCCCCAGCCCCTCTACCCTTCCTGAAGGTCAGGGGGTGGGACTGAAACCTCCAACCCCCCCCCCATGGTCACATGGTTGGTTCTCCAGGCAACCAGCCCCCATCCTTAGGTGTGTCCAAAGCCACCTAATTAACATAACAAAAGACACCGTTCTGACTCTCAGCAAAGGAAATTCCAAGGGTTTTAGGAGCTCTTTGCCCCAAATGGATGCAGACCAAACATGTATTTATTATAAATCACAGTATCACAACTGCCCTGGCCTGAAAGGGAATTCTCTCCTATTCCTCCTTCTCGCCCCTGTCCTCCTCCTCAGCTTCATCTTCGTCCCACACCGGGGTTATTTACAAGGACCATGTCCTCTTACCCTGACAATATCCCTGGCAGGGTAGGCTGCTCTGACTCCATTTTACTAACGTGGAAACAAACTGGGAGTTTCTATAAGACTGCAGGCCGGGAAGTGGCAGGCTTGTGCTTTCAGCTCAGACTTCTATGCCTTAAAGACCAATGTTTTTTCTCCCAGTTTATCATGTTCCCTCCTTTTGCTAATTTTTTCCCTCAGAAATCATTAAAATAAAAATGTTCATTTTGTTGATTGTTTTTCACCCTGCTCACTTCCAAAAATGATTCAAAAGGCTTATGATCATGTAGATCAATAAAACCAAAGGTTGTTAGTTTCTATGCACACATTCAAAAATGATGCATGAACTGCTGCTCTGTAGCCCCTTTATGATCTAGAGCCCCTGCCCTAAAGGTCCTTGTAAGACAAAAGTCAGAAATCGAAGAGCAAAGGGAGGGGAAGAAGGTTTCTCAAGAGGTGGCAGTAGAGGATCTTGAGGTGAGAATTGGCTCTGAGCTTCCCGGCAGCCAGGGCAAAGAGGGAAACACGTGATGCTATGTCACACTCAGATGGGCAGGGGGAGCTGACCACCTAGAAAAGAGGTCATTTTCTCTGCTGAGCTAGGAGAGCGGTGGGTGCGGATATTGTTATGAAAGTGGTCTCAAACCATCAACATGCAAGGGCTTCCTGTAGAGCTTCTGTGATCCTGAGAATGGCATGCTGCTTAGGGCTTTAAAGAGTAAAAGAGCCTGAATTTATTACAGCCTCTACTAGGGGGCCCTGGGCAAAGGAACATCCCCACTTGGTGTGGAATAATTTTCACTACTGGAGTGGGCAGTGTTGAGAGGATTTGTTGAGAGAATGAAGGCAAAAGTGTTTCTACCGACTCTTGTCATCTCCTATCCAGCCACCCGAAGACAGACTGAAGAGGATATTGCATTCCTGGGGCAAAGTGGAGACTGGGGCATCCAGGCCTACGCTGTGGGTGGGGGCCCTGGAGGGGCTGCTGCAGGGGTTGTGTTGTGTGGCCCTGGGAGAAGGGGCAGAGGCCAGGTCTGAGTTACCGCTCTTGGGGCAGGAATGCTTATTTGGAGGCCAGCTTGCCAAGCCAGGACAGTTTCAGAATGCGTTCTGTTTAGGCTGTGCAGAGAATCCTCTGAAGTCACGCTGTCCAGAGGAGTGAGGGGAATGGCGGGCCCTCGGGTGGGCACATAGGGTCTGTCTTGCTCCAAAGCTGTTTCCTTCCCCTGCATTGGGCACCGCTAAGAAGGGATGTCCAGGGAACAGATGCCAGTGCCCTTGGGATACAAGTCAAACCCTAGTGTGGAAGGGATCTCAAGTGTACACTGCACCCCCTCCCCATGCAGAAGGTAGGCTGTGATGGAGTGATCGGCTCCAGTAAGCAAGAGGACAAGTGTGGTGTGTGTGGAGGGGACAACGCCCACTGCAAAGTGGTCAAGGGCACGTTCACACGCTCGCCCAAGAAGCTGGGTGAGTGAGCCCCTCCCTCTGACTCTGAGGCCTAAAAGCACATGGCGGGTGGAAGTGGGATAGACTCGACATTGGGGCTCTGCCTGAGTTCATGACTCTCCTGGGGGTATCTGGGAGGGTGAGGTGGTAGGAGAACCTAAGTTAGGACAGCTTGAGCCAGGCCCCAGGGTGGGTGGGGGATAGGGCGAGTGGGGGTGCCGGTCACAGGGTCAGGGCAGAGGATGCCAGGATACAGGTGCACAGGGTAGTTAGATGTTTATTTGAGAACAGGGCCCTGCCGAGAGCACCCTTCCCTTGCCCTTTAGGGTCCCTTGCTCCTTTCCCTTCATCGCTACCCCCGGCTGGCTGTCTGCAGGACTTTCCTACACTGGTCAGCACAGGTTGCTGCCTCTTTGGGTAGGGCGTCAGGCCCATGAGGCACTGCAGCCTCTGGAGTTGCCTTCGGGAGCAAGGCTTTCCATGCCTTGTCTGCACCCGAGCAGCATCTCTCCTTTCATTTGGCTGTGTCCCCCACATCCCAACAAAGGTTACATCAAGATGTTTGAGATCCCAGCAGGAGCCAGACACCTGCTCATCCAGGAGGCAGACACTACCAGCCATCACCTGGGTGAGTCTCAGAGCCCAGGGAAAACAGCAGATTCATAGCCTGGCCCTTCTGGGGATGGGCAGAGCCCCTGGGGACAGAGGCCTGGCTGGGGGAGCCCCATCTCCCTGACCCAGGACCTTTCCTGGGGTCACCTCCTGGTGGAGAGGCCACACATTGGGATCAGAGTGCTCCTGGCAGCAGCTATAGGGGGCTATGTGTCTAAGACATGCCACTCACACCCCAGCCCACAGAATGGTGACTCCCCATCTCAAGGCCCCCGTACCCACTGGAAGGCAGGCAGATCTGCAAGCAGCAGGGTCCAGGTGGCCCACACACACCAACCAGAGAGTGTGCCCTGCCGGCTCCCCTCGGCGTGTCTGGCTCCTGCCCCTGGGGATCATGGCGGCACTACCTTCTGCTGTTCTCAGCCATCAAGAACCTGGAGACAGGCAAGTTCATTTTAAATGAAGAGAACGACGTGGATCCCAGTACCAAATCGTTCATCGCCATGGGTGTGGAGTGGGAGTACCAGGATGAGGATGGCCAGGAGACGCTGCAGACCATGGGCCCCCTCCACAGCACCATCGCCATTCTGGTAAGTTGAGGCAAGGGCCAGGCCCACCGCCTCCTGGCTGCCCCTGCCAGGGGGCAAGCGGCCAGTGGGGAAGGGACAGAGGGTTCTGAGTGCCCTGAACCTCCCTGCATCCTTCAGGCCACACTTGGGATGACCCCTCTGGCTTGTCCTTTGGACCACGGCTCTCCATCTATGTGTCAGAATGAGGGCAGACATGGAGCTGTCAGTTGGGCCCTAGGTAGCCCCAGGCAAAGTCTCCCCTGTGAAGGTTTTGGTTTCCCTGTTGAATGACATTCACAGCCCCTTTCATCATGCTTCTGCACATCTACTTTCAAATCCACACCCTGCCACACCCTGGGAGTGATCGACGGGGCTCAGGATGTCAGACCGCCAGACCCAGGTTTTGTGAACTTTGTCCCTGAGCAGGACTGGACCCCAGGTCTTCTGAGTTCAAGGTCACAGGCTGCTCCTGCTTATGAGAGCACAGAGGGAGCTTGATTTTCTAATCACTTTTTAAAAATGAATTGCATAAGTAATATATTTTATCTGTAAAATCATCAAAACCCTACAGATAAGGCTCAGGTGCCCTTAGCCCCTCTGCGGGGATAGGCACGTGACAGGCACCCGTCCCAGGGCATGCTCTATCCCCTACCCCCGCCCCTGCGCCCACCACGTCCCCCCCACCCCGCCCCCTCTCCCCAGGTTGTCGGGGACAGTCCGTGTCACCACACATACAGGTGGGCTCAGGACCTGTGGTTTCTGTATTGGTAAATTTGCCTGCTTGCTAACAGGTTATTTGTAATCCCCAAATCAGTACTCAAAAGTGCTTTTCACAGTTACTTGTGGACAAGTGCAGAGCAGTGAAAGCTTTGCGCCTGACATGCTGGCCTCAGCTGAGGTGGAACACGGTGATGCTCGGCTTCTCGGTTCAGCTCCCACTATAAACAAGTGTCCCTTTCACAGTACATTCAGCGCCAGGTTTTTCACACTTCTGTGCTTTTGTAGGAAAATTCGCTGTTTAAAGTGGCCCAGCTAGTGCAGAAACTGTGTGGTGTCCCTGTGGAGCCAGTGCATGCTGGCTAAGCATTCCGGGTGACAGTGTGCTGGCCGCAAGTTCACAGTTAAGGAATTAACTTATATTATAAGGTGCCTTTACACAGAAAGACGCATAAATAAGGTTACGTATTTACAGTTGATGGAAATGTCATGGCCAGAGGCTCTCAGGGGTTCAGTGTTGGGGACTTTCTAGAACATACCGTGAATAATGAGACTGGGCTGTAAGTGTCCTCTGTACACTGGCTTCGAGGAGATGGAGAGCTGGGCAGACACACTGACGGCCGCATGGGGGTGCAGGTCATCCCGCAGGGGCAGGCCCGGATCTCACTGACGTACAAGTACATGATCCACAAGGACTCACTCGACGTGGACGACAACCGGGTCCTGGAAGATGACTCTGTAGGCTATGAGTGGGCCCTGAAGAAGTGGTCACCGTGCTCCAAGCCCTGCGGCAGAGGTGAGGGGCCTTCTCAGGTTTGGGGCCCCGGCGGAAGCCAGGGCTGAGTGAAAAGGGTCTTCTGGGTGAGGGGCATCCTGAGCCCACAGTGTCTTGCTGACTGCCTGGCCCGAGGCATGTGCCGGGCATGAGAAGACTGGCCCTGGGGCCAAGGAAGCCAAGGCAGTGACCTTTGCTGGGTGATACGGGGCCTAGCTCTGCCTGGGAGGGGCAGGTGAGCAGGGGGCTGGTGTTCAGGCCAGCAGGCTAGAGGCAACCAGAAGGGCACTTGTGGAGCTTGGACAACGCCAGCATGAACCTGCATCGGTGAGAGAGGCAGGAGGTGGCCTGGCAGGGGATTGCTGTAAGGGTGGCTTGGATGGGTTCCAGTGGCATTGTGAGGCAGGGAACAGGGGAGATGTGGGCTGCACTGGAGATGGCTGGAGGGGCCCCCTCTGGAGTGGTCCCTCTTTGTGGTCATTCAGAAAGGCCTTCCAGACCACCCCGAGGCAGGGCTGGGTGCAGATGTGTCCCTCCTGCCCCAGACCTCACAGTGTGCATGGTTGGGTGGGAAGTACAGACAGACAGGAACTCCTGATTTGCCCAGCGTGGTCACTACTCCTGGGAGGCTGGGGGAGATCAGGGGCAGAAGAAGACGCTTGGCCTGCAGGAGCAGGTGGCCAGGACAGACCTCCCTCAGATGCCATGTGGGGTCCCATGCCTAGAGGACAAAGAGGAGTTCACTTAGGGGCTGGGGTACCCCCCTCCCTGCTGTGGGCAGATGGAAGACACCTCCTTCAGTGCTTCCGCCTGGGTGCCAGCCTCCCCTTGAGCCTCCCAACTCCCTGGCTTTCATCTCCATGTCCTGTTGAGTTTCACTCCTCATATCTCTTGGACCCATCTGCTATTCCCATCTTCCCAGTCCTGCCACCACCCTCGCTCTCCCATGGCCCTTGTGTGTTCACTCACCCCCAGAATGACCTATTAAAGGGGCAGATCTGACCATGTCCCTTCCTGGTGTCATAGTCTTCAGCAGCTCCCTCTGTTCTTGAGATAAAAAACAAAATTCTCCCCATGGCCTCCGAGGTCCAGGTAACTTGATGGCCTGTCGCACTGCTCACCAGGCCCTGGCCACTTTGGCCTTAAGTGATTCTCCTGGACATGTCATGCTTCTGCCTCAGGGCCTTTGCACAGGCTGTCTTGTTCCCTGGGAGCCTCTCCATTGCATTTCCACTAAATCAGCACCCACCATCCTGTGCTTCCTGTGATGCCTCCAGACGCCCAGACTAGATCAAGTTGCCCAGCCACATTCTCTTGTGTCTTGCCCACGAGGCTAAGGTTTCGTGACCTTGGCATTGCTGACATCTTGGGCTCTATAATTCTCTGTTGTGAGGGCTGTCCCATGCATTGTAGGATGAGGAGCAGCGTTCCCCTCTAATGCCTGCTAATGCCATTAGTAACCGCCTCCCCCAGTTGTGACAACTAAGTTTCATAGACAATGCCAGATGTCTCTGGGGGCAAAATCACCCTCAACTGAAAACTGCTGCACTAGGCTTATGTGGGAGGAGCCTTGCAGGACGTATTCCTGTGTTAAGCCAACTCCTGCCTCATAACAGGTCTTCAGTGCATATTAATTCAAGTAAATGACTAAGCAATGGGAGAGGAAATGAACCCTTCCCTCATGTCCCAGGAGGCCAGCCAAGGGGCCAGAGAGAAGGTGGTCACTCTCCCTGGCCTCTCACCCTGACTCAGCCTGGGGTACTAGGGGGACACCAGGCTAGACATCTCCAGGGCTGGTTTGGGCACCCTGCCCCACCCACCACCCCATCAGAAGGGTGGGGAGAACAGGGTTGAACTGTTGGTGAACCTCCCTGTATGTCCTCCAGAGGGGCCACACCGCTCCATTGATCTTTCATTTTCAGGGTCTCAGTTCACTAAGTATGGCTGCCGCCGGAGGCGGGACCTCAAGATGGTGCACCGAGGTTTCTGCGATGCCCTCGCGAAGCCCAAAGCCATCCGCCGGGCTTGCAACCCACAGGAGTGCTCCCAGCCCGTGTGAGTGCCTGGGGCTGCCTGGGGTCCCACTAGAGGGAGAAGAGGGCAGTCCCTGGGGCTCCAGTGGAGGGAGGTGCAGGACCTGGGTCCGCAATCGGCTCTGGGCCTCACATCCTGTGAGAGGTTTGACAGGTTATTTCTTACTCACTATGTTTCATGGAGTCTAAGATGCGGTAGCCTGTATGCTGCACCCCTGCTTCAGACCTGCAAAACAGAAACAATACTGTGCATCTTGGAAATGGCGAGTGGTAATGCTCAGATTGGGAAACTGAGGCTCAGAGGATGCAGGGCTGGCTTCTGGACCTGTGGGAGATGTTTCCCAAACAGCCCATGACAGCAGCTGCATCCTTCACCCCCAGCCCCAGAGTTTGGCAGGGCTGCATTTCCGGGCCCTGAGCAGGGAAGATGGCTGATAAACAGATGGAGGCATTTGGGAGCAGGCGCTGACAGAGTTCTCACTGCTGCCCAGAAGGGTTGGTGATGCCACCAGAAGCGGAGGTCAGAGGGCAGAGTCAGAGCCACAGAAGGGAATGAGGCCGGCAGAGTCCCTTGGGCCTGAGCTGTCTGTGGCCCCCACTGGGGCTCCCAGCAGTGGACATGCGTGGGGCCCACCACCTGCAGGACCTTGGGCAGTGTGCAATAAGCCTACAGGGTACCTTCATGAGGACAGGGAAGGTGGCACCAGGGGGAGCAGGCAGCCTTCTCTCTGTGCACCTGGGCCACAGGAGACTGACATGTGCCACTGTCCCCTGGCAGGTGGGTCACGGGAGAATGGGAGCCATGCAGCCAGAGCTGCGGGCGGACAGGCACGCAGGCTCGCTCGGTGCGCTGCGTCCAGCCTCTGCACAACAACGCCACCCGTTCCGTGCACTCTAAGCACTGCAACGATGCCCGGCCTGAGGGCCGCAGGGCCTGCAACCGTGAGCTCTGTCCTGGTCGGTGGCGGCCCGGACCCTGGTCCCAGGTAAGCAGTCCCCCTGGCCCCATGTTCTTTGGCCCCCAGAACCAGCTTTTTTCGGACTCATGTGGCCAGGATGTCCCACATTTGTCTGGACTGAGTTCCTGGCCTGGACCACATCCAGTAGGTCTCAGGGCACCAGTGGTGCCACGTGGTCAGTGCTCTGTTGAGAAACCCAGTGGAATGTGTTTCTTTACTCTTCAGGGCTGGGGTTCCCTTGTGCCACAGGGGCCTGGAATCCCAGGAGACTGAGGGCAGCCTGGGCTCTAGGATACGAGGGAAGGCCTGGATTCTCATCTCCGAGGGCGGAAGTGTGGTCTAGAAGGCCGGCCAAGCTTGCAGGAGGGGACATGAGCAAGGGAAGGCTAGACTTGGGTGGGAAAGAGTAGTTAAGACAGTCTCAGGGACCGAGGAGCAGTGTGGGTGCAGGGCTGAGCTGGCGTGAGCACTGACATCCAGCTCGCAGCCATGACCAGCCCTGGGCTGCACGATTCGCTAGAAGGATCATGGGACTCAAAACTTACTGCACTCATGGTTATAGTTTATTATAGTGAAAGGTCATAGAGTGGAATCAGGGAAGGGAAAGGGTGTGTGGCAAAATCCAGAGGAAATCAGGCACACGCCTCCAGTAGTCCCCTCCAGTGAAGTCACCAGGGATGCACTTAATTCTCCCAGCAATGATGTGTGACAACACACATGAAGTACTGTCAACCAGGAAACCCACCCGAGCCTGGGTTTTCACTGCGGATTGGTCACGGAGGCATACGGTGCCTGCTGTGTGATGACATCAGTTACTGAAGCTCCAGACCCCCAGCGGGAAAGGAGTTCAGCAGAAAGCCCGTTTTTGGTGAAAACTGACTGGTGCAGCGTGACTCAAGGCCTCAGGCAAGAAAAACACTCTACCAGACAGAAGATTCCAAGGCCTTGGTTCCCAGGAGCTGCTCAAGGGCCAGTCCTAAAAACAGGCTTTTCTTGGGACTGTGTGGGGTTTGAGCAGCCAGGTCTGCTGAGCCGGCCTCCCCACATGCAGGGCTAGGACTTGAGAATTAACCTTGGGCAGGGCTGGGCCAGCTATGAGCCAAGCCAGGAGTCTGGGCCTGACGGCCCCTGCTAGCCCCTCCCCATGGGTAAGGCATGGGGCTGGGGTTGGAGGGGCCAGCGAGGGCGCTGGTGGTGTAGAGCTTTCTGGGGGAAGGGGGGTTGGTCCTCTGCCAAAGCCTCCTGGACTCAGAGCCTTCTCATGGTCCCCCAGTGTACAGCAGGTTTTCCTGAGCCTCAGGCCATCTCAGCCAGAACACCCAGAAGTGCCAGGCCCTGTGTATTCACTCTTTTTAACTCACAATAACTCAGAGATATAAGCACATGTGCCCGCTCATCAGAGCCCCAGGAGCCTGAGGCAGCCGTATAAGACTGGGGTGAGGCTGGGCAAGGCCTCCAGCACACAGTCTCCCCTTTGCTCCTCACCATCTGCCATGTGTTATGGGGTCACATGAATGAGGGACCCTTCCAGGCCCAGCCCAGCGTGGGAGGTGGGCCCTCACTGGTGATTCTCCATCTGCAGTGCTCGGTAACCTGTGGGAATGGCACCCAGGAGCGGCCAGTGCTCTGTCGCACGGTAGATGACAGCTTCGGGGTCTGCCAGGAGGAGCGGCCAGAGACCACAAGGACCTGCAGGCTCGGCCCCTGTCCCCGTAAGCCCTCAGCTGCCCTGTTCCCTGGGCCCCAGCATGCAAGTCCCAGGGCAAGGGGGGCTGGTCCAAGCAAGTGCAGCTCTTCCCACAAGTGGCCAGACTCAGCACCCCTGACCTTGAAGGAGAAGCTGAACCTCCCAGGCCAGGGCTGAGCCCTTTCCCTGGTAAGGAATGGAAGGAACTGCTCATCTCCGGGCCAGTCCCAGGGAAAGGATTGAGCAGATCAGCCCATCCCTGCCTTCTTGGAACTCCCTGCTTGTCTGAGAGATGGAACCAGACTCGCAGTGAGGGCACAGTCAGGCTCAGCCAGACAGGCTCCGTGCCCATGTGAGTAGGGTGCCCTGTGCCCTGCATGGAAAACAACCACAACACTGGCTACATACAGACACCTTGGCAAGTGCCAGATGTGTGACCTCTTGCACAGGGGCCATGCTAATCTTCTCTATATCGTTCCACTTTCAGTATGTGTGCTGCCGAAGCTAGTACAACATGTGACTGCTTTTGGTCCCCAGAACAGCTCAAGATGTAGACCCCACTACAAGTTCCATCTACGGAGAAGGGAGTTCAGGGGGGTCAGGTGTGCCCACCACAGCTGAGGGCGTGTAAATCCAGGATTCACTTGGTCCCTGTGTTCCCGGAGCAGGCAGTTGGTACACTGCTCAGCCTGGGAGTAGTGCACAGATCAGGAGATGGGTCAGGGCCCGTATGCTGTAGCTACTCCATAGCTGAGACCCAGGATGCATGGGGTTAGGGAGAGGCAAGAGGCTGGGCCCCTTCTGTCACAGGGGAGAGCCTTGAGTGTCACACCGGGGAATCGGACCCCTCCATTGCCCCTGCCCAGGACGCTGGAGCTGTGGAGGGGAGGTGGGCTGGCCTGGTACCCCAGCAGTCGCAGCCCCTTTCTCTTCTCCTTAGGAAATGTCTCTGACCCTTCCAAGAAGAGCTACGTGGTTCAGTGGCTGTCCCGACCAGACCCCGACTTGCCGGTCCAGAAGACCTCGTCAAGTAACCGGCCCGTTTATAACTCTGCCTCTGCCCTCCAGTGCATGCCCTGCGCCTTGTGGAGCTTGCCGTGGGCTCCCCTCCTCTCTTTCTATGGAAAACTTCCCTGACTCTTCTGAGTGCTCTGATTGAATCTGTTTTCTCCCGGGCCTCTGTGCTCGACCATCTCCTTCGGAGCCACCTGGCTGCCTGGCCGGGAGGGCCAGCCTCGCAGAGGCATGGCTCCGGCATTGGCCTCTTGTGGCGGGGCCGGAACCTGGTTGGTGATGGCTTGTAAAGGGTCAAAGATCTGTCATGGTGCTGGAGGGGCCAGAGGTCAAAGTGCAAATGTGACCACTTGGTGACTGCCTTGCAGGGCCACATCCCTCCAGGCTGGAGCTGCAGGTTGGAAATCAAGGGGAAGCCTGCCCATCCCCTTTCAAACACGCCCGCCACGGAGGCAAGGCCAGGGGGTCTCGGGGCATGTGGTTTTGTGCCACCATGATGGGTGGCACCGCCCTGAGTGTCCGGCGGTGCATCGGGGCTTCCCGGCTGCCTCTGCTGTTGCTGCTGCTGCTGACCCTGTGCTGAGTGTGTTCTGACTCGTGCGACTGTGGCCTGCTTCCTGTGGCCTTTGTGTCCGACTTACACAGCCCTTGCCCCCATGCACTGTCTCCTCGTGGGGTGGGGGGTTCAGGTCAAACAGAGGAAGCAGTTGTATGTTCCTCCAGTGCAACACAGGGACACACTGTCACTCCCAGTCTGTCCATTAGCTCCAATGGCCTTTTCTTATCATGCGCACATGACCCCTTCCACAGGGGTGAGAGTGAGAGTGAGAGACTGATGTGGGTGAGGCCCTGCCCGTGTGAACAACTACAGAATTACCTCAATTTTTATTGCTTTTTTGCTTAGAAAAAACTATGTAGAAAATGCCTTAAAGTTGAAAGGTAACATAATTGGCTGCTAACTCCAGCTTCAGAGGGGGATGTGATCCAGGTAGGAAGCTGTCAGTGCAGGTCAAGGGGCAGGCGGTCCAAGTCATTCACCTTTGGCCAAGGATAAGGTTTCCCAAGCAGGTGGCCTGGCTCCCTGCGCCCCTTGGTCTGTGCGGGGACCCAGGCACTCTCAAGCCACCTTGCAGGAAGGAGACCCACTGGCCAGTGGGCGCTGACTGTTGCTGGAGCCCCTGCGGGTGCTCCCACGGCACTGCCTTACGCCAGAGGGCAACATACCCGGCCCTTCAAGTGACCAGCGTAGCACTCCCGCCGCCACCCCAGCCCTGTCCACCTGTGAATAGCATCCCCGCCAACCATGCCAGCCCTCCCGGCACTAATTACTGTTATGTAAATACTCGGTGTGTAACGCGGACTAATTCTCATGACTGTTAACTTTGACTAGGCCATGTGAGTGACACGAGTGACTCTGGGAAGGTGCAATACGCTCCTGGGCATTGTGCTCTCTGTCTATATGCACATTGGTTTATCAGGGATATTTTATTAGTGTTTTGTATGTATTTATGACGTATTATCTAGGTTCCATTGCCGTCGCTTTTCTGGTTTTTTTATGAGACGTTAGTGTGTGCCAAAGTGACTGTGAAATGACCTTTTATTCTTACTAACGCTGGAAAGACTTCCTGTCATGCAGCCCACAAATAAACTCAATAAAAGTTCAGTGAAACCGGGTGCTTGGGTTTGGCACGCCGCTGGCTGGCTCGTTCTCTTCGCCTCCGGGGCCGACAGCACTGTGAAGCTGTGGGTGCCCTTTGGATCCTTGGTTTCTGATTCGAATGACTTTACTGTCCTCCTTCTGCCTGCCCAACATAGATGTCTAGGGTCTTTACCCCGCCGAAACACACACCCCTTCCCCAAGCATTTTTCAAAATATGACAGCAGCCTGTGAAGACACTCTACTAGGATTTGGAGTTCTGAACTGTTCGTGCTAAACAAACAGCTACAGGAACATCTGTGTCCCCCGCTCCTGGTTGGCGCTTTTACAGTCAGGAAGGGACCCGAGGCGCGTTTCTCCCCCAAGGGGTGGGAACTCGGGGTCCAGGTCACTGTGCCTGAGCCACCAGCAGGCCACTGCCCTGGCTCCTGGGGCAGCTCTCAGCTCTTGTTCAGGGCAAGAGAGGTGCCCATCTGGCCCAGTCAAGAAAAAGGGAAGGCAGCAGTGGCTCTGGGCACCTGGTCTGTGACATTCACAGGTGTGTGTGCTCAGCCATGCCTGCCCTCAGAAGCCACAGGGCCCATGTGTTCGCTCACCTTGCTAACAAGGACCAGACAGAACGTCAGGGTCCCACGGGGACCTTCTCACCTGGGGCCTGAGTGGTGTCCAGAGTGGGCATCTCTCTTCTCCCTTTCCTGTGAGGGGGCCCTGTGCCAGGGAAGAGGGAGATCATGAGAAGCATGACATGGGGCCACCCTTTGTCATAGATATGGGCTGCAGGACACAGCGCCAAGCCCTAGGCATTGGTTGCGGGGTGGGGGTCACGGTAGCTGTGGCTGAGTCCAGCCTGCCCAGAGTTCTGGTCGGTCATTGAAAGGAATTCCAGCTCAATAGAGGTGAGGAGACCAAGACAAGTTGTGTCTGACAGAACTGTAGCCACTCAGTCTCCCTCCCAGATAGATCAGGAGAAACTCCCACTAGAGCTGCAGGCAGCCCAGGGTGCTGTGTGCCTGGGGACAACCATGGTGATGGAGGGCGTGGGCAGACAAGGGATGCTTCCCACTTCTTTAATTTGCCACACAACCTTTTGAAAGGTGAAATGCTGCATTACACCTGATGAGAAAAAAGAATGAAGTTTTCTCCACCTCAGCCCTTTCCAAAGCATGGGGGGTGGAGGTGATTTAAGTGGTGCCACCAAGCAGCTCCTCTGTCATTCTTGCTGTCTTTCATGACCACGTCAGGAGGGAGTCTCACTTGGCACGAGTCCTGGTGTCTCTCTCACACTTTTTCATTTCTCTCCAGCTCAGATCTGTGCAGGCGGGAGTACCTTCCTCAAATTTGAGGAATTAAAACTAGACTTACAAATTGACTTAAGGGGCCTTAAATAACTGTTCTTTGTATTCATGTCTAAGGTCACCTTATTTACCAGACTAGTTTTCCATGAATGGTAGGTAGTAGTATAAAAGTTTCTCCTAAAATAAATTTTAAGTTAAAAAACAAAAGGAGTTAGTTTAAAGGAGGAAACTACTACTAAGCCAATAATAACGTAGGCCATGTTCAGATATAGCCAAGATTGTGGGGATAGCACACAGACTTCAATTTATGAAGAAAAATGGGTTTGCTCTCAATGGTTTGTTCACAGGAAGGCAATAGGTCTTGCCAGTTAATTGTTGCTGGAAATGGCTGGAGATCAAGCATATGGAATGGAAATTATTATCTTGGTAGACACCAAGACTTGGTGGGCCAGTCAGTCAGTGCCTCAGGACACGTCGCTCAGTCCTTCGGTGGTATAACTGTATCTCCTGCATCTCAGAGGGCCCTCTGCTCAGTGATACTACTTAGAAACACACAACCATTGGCATCCTTTTAAGAGCGGTGGGTAAGGATTATTTTGAAATTTTTCTGGACTGATATTAGCATAGTCAAGCTCTTGGCCAGCAGCTTTCTCAATTATTTACCCATTCATTGACTTATTTTAATTTTGAAAAAGTTAAAGCAATGCAGCCCACTATTCAAAGGAAATCAGACCCAGTCCAGTATGTAAGTCAGGTGAAGGGAGGCACCCCAGAGAAGGGGCGCCCAGCTCCCGGCTGTCACCTGCCCATCGGGCAGGGAGATGGACTGCTCCTCCCAGTTCGACCATTTACTCAGCAACATGTGTGAGTGTTTCTGGGTCAAGCTCTGATTCAGGCACTGGGGACACCACCAAGCACCCAACCAGAAGTCCACACACTTTTTCTCTGAAGGGCCAGACAGCATATATTTTAGGCATTGGGAGCCGTGCAGTCTCCCTCTCAACTACTCAACTCTGCCTTTGTAGCAGGAAAGCAGCCGTAGGTAATAAATAAATGGTGCGAGCCTGTTCCAGTAAAACCTTATTTTAAAAACCAGGTGGAGAGACTGGTTTGGCCCCAGGGCAAAGTTGGCCAACCCCTGCCCTAGAAGGAGGTGATGCCCGCTTCTCAGGATCCTAGCCTAGTGAGAGATAAGTGAGGGAGATGCTTAATACCAGTCTTGTGACTTGTGAAGGAAAAGGCTCAGGTGACAGGAGAGGGCATTGCTGTGTGGCAGGAGTGGCCCCACTCCCAGCATCTTGGCCAGGCCAGGTCCCGTCCTGTCCTGTGCCTCTGCCCCTCCCCACCCAGCTGATGGCCAAATCCTGTGGGGAGACGCTACACCCAGGCTTATCAGAAGCCCCACTCTGTCTCCCTGAGATCCATGACCAGCAGTTTTCACCCAACTCACCTCAATGGCTACCAGAAAGAGGGGAGTAGCCAGAGAGGGGTGAAAGGGCAGGGGGGCTCTGAGCATGACCCCCCCACCCCCAGGCCCCAGCCAGCTTCAGGTAGGACTGCTCTGATTTCATCCATCTCATATTTTGGACATCTGTGTAAGATTTCATCTACCAGTTTTAAAACCCTAAAAGCCACATGTCTGGATCTTCCAGTTTGATTTCTGAAAGGGGCCCTCGGCTCTCAGGCACCCCCTGGCTTTCTCCTTCCACATTGTGAGCCTCTGGCTCAGTCTCAGGGTTAGGAAGACCAGGGCTTTGCCTGAACAGCCAGTCTGTGTTTCCCTCTTGTGGGTCAGGCAGCCAGTTATGCCTCCTCCCCATTTTGACCACCTCTGGTTTTAGGTGCCTGTGTGTGTTCTTGCCTGTAACGTTGCTATTTTAAAATCCATTAATTTCCCTGTTTGGACTTCCTCAGTTACTCACATTTATGCTTTTCACATTGGTACATTTACGCGTTCTTTGATTCACTGATCTGGCTCTGGGGATAGAGGGGCATCCAAATACAGCTCAGGGCTCTGCCCTTTGGAGCTTTTAGGATAATGAAGAAGTCAGGCATTAGTCACCTTATCTGACAATTAAACATGAACTTGCCAGCTGGGATGAAGTACTGGGAAGGGGTGACACATCTGGTGGGATTTAACTTCCTAAGGGAGGTCAGGCAATGCTTGCCTGAGGAAGACATGTTTCAGCTGAGCCTAGAAGATGAGAGGAGAGCAGCTGAAGGAAAAGGGGAGACACTGCTTGTGCAAAGGCCCTGCAGTCAGAGGGAGTACAGTGCAGAGCAGGAAGTCTGAGGCCTGAGTGAGGCTGGAGAGGATGGGGACAGGTCTTCACTCTGAAAACAATGAGACACAATGAGGCAATTTAGTCAGGACCACAGCATGGTCACATCTCCAGGTGAAAAACAGCATTCTGGCTGAAGCAGGATAGCTAGACAAAGAGAAAGAATGGAGGGAGGCAGGCAGAGGAGACTCCTACCGTGGTGCAGCTAAGATGCAAGGCAGCTGGAGCCTGTGCAGGTGGGAGAGCGCGGACATACCTGAGAGGGCCTAGGAGGAAACGCTGACGGAATTGGCCATGGCTGGATAGGGGACACTGGGCTCCAGCATGTGCACCTGAAAGGCCGTTGTTCCCTGAGATGGGTGGTGCTGTCAGAGGCTGTGAACTTGGGCTGGATGTGTGGCATCTAAGGCAGCTTAGGGACCATGGGGGTTTGCAGGTGTCTAGTAGGAAGTTGTATCCATGAATCTAAACCTCCAAGAGTTTCTGTTGGTGTCCACCTATGCGGTGACCGGCCTGTAGGGAGAATTACAGGCTAGAGCAGTGACCATGCAGAGGGCGGACGTCAGAGCCATGGGCCCTGAATGGAAGGGGCTGTCTGGGTGTTGTTGCAGGATGTTTTGATGGGCTGGCACAGCTTCAGGTATTGCTGTGTATAGTGTTGTATGTCAGTGTGCTGGTGCGGTTCCCATCCAGTGGCTGCACTCCCTCCCTCCCTCCCTCCTGCCCTCCTTTCCCCTTTCCCTCTTTCCCTCTGTCCTCCCTGCCTCCTCCTTCCCTCTCTCTCCCTCTATCCTCCCTTCTTTCTCCCTCCCTCCCTTCCTCCCTCTCCCCCCTCTTCTTTCTTTCCCTAGGAGATGAGGTCCCTGAGGAGAGAGGGGAAGGAGGGTGCAGCAGGGTCAGTGTAGGACAGGTTTGGGATCCTCAGTATGGAGAGCAGAGCATCTGAGCCGAGAAACAGGCAGAGTTGAGCCCACAGAGGTCAGTGATCAGGAGTTTATAACGGATCAAATATCTCTGTTATATGACTCATTGTTTCGTGTTGAATTCTTGTAAATCATCTCAGTTTTTGTGTTGTGTATGGAATGAGGTGGGGAGGGAAGGGAAGAGGAATGGAACTGTGCGAAGGAGACAGAGCAGAGGAGGGGTGAGAGCAAGAGGACTTGGATGGGTTGAAGTGATGTAGCTGCACACGGTCAGAGCTGGGCCCAGTAGAAGACAGCCAGATGGGAAGAGAGACAGCAGTGGCCTCTGAGGAGCGAGTCGGGGTCTCCATGCAAGCTGGACCGTGGATGACAGTTTCTTGGGTGGGAAGGAAAGGAGAGGATGTGCTGGGCAGAAAGCTTAGCTCCAAGTTCGGGAACAGTTTGCTTGGGAAATGGCCAGACGCTCAGTGTGGCAGGGCCATGGGGTGCAAGTCATGGGGCTCTTGGGTAATTGAAGCAAGTGGAGGAAAGCCCAGACAAGGCTGGGTAACTTCTAACTTTCCTTTAGGCACTTTTCAGAAACAAAGGTCATCTGAAGAATTTGGGTGATGATGGGAACAAAACAAGGACAAGTGTGGTGAAGCCATATCCGAGGCTGTGGGATTTGCTCTGTTAGGTTTTAGGAATTGGTTCTTTTAGGTTTAATTTTGTTACAGTTACTGATTATAGATTATTGTAGTCAAACTCTGCCACACAATTTCATTGGGGTTACCATGGGGATGTCACATGTAAAGATCTGACGAAGTCCTGTTCTTTAAGATGAGCTTAAAACCACTCTCTAAAAACAAACAGGCCTCATTTCTGTCTCAAACTTTGAGAGATACTGAAAAATCAACTCAGCGGGGCCTGCTTCGAGGAGGGGAGCATGGCCCACAGCTGTGTGACTGCACTCCAGGGTGGGGTCCGAGCGCCTCTGACCCGGACACCACACACACTCTCTGCGTGGGTTCGCTTGCCTCTGTGCTGTCTCTGGGCTCTTTCAAACGCCTCCTGCAGCAAGCTGCTCCCTGTGGGGTCACAAAGCCCCCCTTATCTTGTCCTTTGGTTATGTGTCCCACTTTTCTCTTTCAGAGGGCCGCTGCCAAGGCGACAAGTCAATGTTCTGTAGGATGGAAGTCTTGTCCCGCTATTGCTCCATCCCAGACTACAACAAGCTGTGCTGCAAGTCCTGTAACCTGCACGACAACCTCACTGACATGGACGACAGGACAGAGCCACCACCCCAGAAGCATAATGACATTGAAGAGCTCATTCCCACCCTCCCAGTGCCCACTCTGGTCATGGAGGTGCAGCCCCCGCCAGGCGTGCCCCTGGAGGTGCCTCTCAATGCCTCCAGCACCAATGCCACCAAGGATCACCCAGAAGCCAATGCGGTCGATGTGCCCTACAGAATCCACAGCCTGGACGATGCAGCCCAGCCACCCAACCTAATCCCTCGACGGCCGAGCCCATATGAGAAGACCAGGAACCAAAGAATCCAAGAGCTCATTGATGAGATGAGGAAGAAAGAGATGCTTGGATAGTTCTAATAAAATGGAAAGGTAGCATCCTTAGCATTTTTTTCTTGCTTGTAGAGATATTCCATAAGATGGCAAATCCTGTGTCAAGAAGAAGTAAAAATTCCTGATTCCAAAAGGTTTTGAGAAAACAGCGGGAGAATGACATAAAAAGATACATGTGTGTGTGAGTGTGTGTGTGTGTGTGTGTGTGTGTGTGTGTGTGTGTGTATGGTTGTGAGCATGTGACAACAGGTGAGCACATGGGTTTCCAAGCCCCGGAATGTTCTAAGTCCTGTCCGGGGGCTGGGTGTGGGGTGAAGAGGAGTATGGAGATTCTACAGCCTCCATCAGAGAGGAAGGGTGGGAGGGCTAACTCGGAGAGAGAGAAAATTTTCACCTCAAGTTTCTGAGCAGTGACTGGGGATCTTCCTTTCCTCAGTGGTGACAACCCTCCTGGAGACAGGGGACATTTCCTTCCAGTCCCCAGGCTGAGTCACAGGGCCCTGGGGACTCTTAGGAGAAATGGGGTGTATTTACTAACTGACCAGTTACTAAGATGAGCCCAGTGAGGTGGAGGCTGTGAACTCCAGTGCCTTCAAGGACCCAGCAGGTGGCCAGCTGGGGACCAGGACCAGCCTGAGAGCCATTGATTGTCAGCTGTAGCGATGATGCCTCTGTGAGAGCTGGGCCCTGCTGCCAGACAGCATGTTTTTTCAGAAGTCTAGATTTTTGTGGGAAGATTCTGTCCTTAAAGGTCAGAGCAAAGTATTTTAAGGAGGTCTGAGAGTCTGTTAGGGTCTAGTGTCCCAGACTGCAGTCTCTGGTCTCTGGGGTTGGCCTGACACAGCCTTGCGAATTAAGGACTTAGGGAAAGCCAGCTGACCCATTGGGTGCTCGCCAGCTGTGCTTGAATATCTCAGCTGGGTCTGAGCTGTCAAACTGTACATTTCTTTCCAGGAAGTACTGAAAATCCTAGGCCTGGGGCTTGAGGATAGATCTAAATAGTGGGCTGTGTTTCTGGTGCAAGAAGCCAGCAGGGCACACTCCAGGCTCTCAAGGCCTCGCTCCTGTCCACTAGCCCTGGCCTTGCTTGTCCCCTACGGTTGGCCTGGCCTCAGCCTGCGGCTCCCTGGGAGGCTCTTTTCTCCCCGAGTGCATCAGAAGGCTGAGAGTCCAGTGAGAGCCAAGGCTCTGACCCTCCCAGAGGTGTGGAAGTGCTGTCAGCAGAGTGGCCATGCCAGAGGAAACTGCGAAGGGGTCTTGTGGACATGGGTCTGCTCCTGAAGCCCAGCTTCGCTGGTGGGGGCTAGACTTGCCCTGCCCCCCAGCCCTGCTCCCACTTCTATCCCCTAGAAGTTCCATCAGTTGCAAGGTTTGTCCTCTGATGGGAGGCATGGGTGAGGGTGGGGACAGCCGGCTCTGTCTTTTGCTCTTTCCAAACTTTAATGACTTTTTTTTTTCAGCAGAATGGTGCTTTGTGAGCAAGATACGAATGAGAGAAATAGGAATGGAGTGGGGTCGGGGGTGAGAGGACAATGGCTAATTTTTACCTCTCCCTGCATGGATAGTAACATGCAGCTTAAACTTCCCAAAATTACAAGACCTCGGGCACATTAGCTCCTTAGCTGGGACTACACTGCTACATAACTGTTAGGCTTTTCATATCCAGGAAAGTTCTAGAGCCTTTTTATTCTTGCCAGTCATAGATCTTAAAGAACTCTTTCTTATTTAAGTCCCCGTTATATGGACAAGAATACTGAGGCTCAGGATAACATCATGATGGCCACTTTACATTGAGTTTTGAGGTGCTAAGTCTTGTTTGTCTGAAACTGTGCATGTGTGTGTGAGTGTGTCTGTGTGTGCTCTAAGGACAAAGTAAGGGTGTAGGACACAGTGAGAACCGTATCTGGGATGCTGCTTAACCCTCCAGCCCCGGGCTACGGCTACCTAGCTGCTGCCCACTCCCACCCGGCACAGCCTGCCTCCCTCCCACCTTCCCACCCCCCCACGTCCCACACACGCTCAGACATGCTCCAGTGTCCAAAGAACTTGCTAGCTCCTAAGAACCAAACTGCAGAAAACATTTTTTAACATCTCCCACAGTACCACTTCTTCTTTAATAAGATGTGGTATAAAGCCTTTCTGCAATCCTATATCTATGAGGAAATGGGTCCCTCTGGTTTCCCTCATCAGTTGAACCCCTGGCAACTGGTGCTAGTCATGGCCTGAAGGACTGGGCAGCTCCTGCTGGGTCTGTCCTAGAATGTAAAGGAAGATCAGGTGACTAACTCTTGCCAGAGTGTTACTCAGTTTACCCAGCCTGGGGGCTTCGGGACGGGAACCCTCCATTCCCAGATCCTTGCAAAGTAGGCTGCATGTATGGGGGCTGGAAGTCTTCAGGGAGAGGCCCCATTGCCAGGGAGGAGAGAGATGTCCTCTGGGAGCTGTAGGCTAGCCAGGCCATGGCCCCACATGCCATACTCAGTACCCTGGACCGTATATCCATAGAGCTCTCCAGAACTAGATGGTCCTCAGAGGTCTCTCCACCCAAGGATCACAGTGTCCATCCAGCTCCAGGAAGCTGCAAATCTCCACTGAGCTTGGGACGACTGGAGAGCAGGCTAGCAGCAGTCTGGAGCTTTCAGAGGTAGCGTCTGTCTGCATCTCCAGGCTCCTGCCTCCTGGGGGTGCCGAGCAGGTCTTCTCACTGAGGTTGATAGCAGCACATGAGACTCCGACGTTCTTTGTTCTCGCTTCTGGAAAACCAGCAGGGGCCCAAGAGTCACTTCATGTGCATGGGAGACTCGTGCTAGAGTTTAGGGACCTGGCTCTCTGATCTACAACTTTTGGAAAATGCATGGAATTTCACATATAAGCCTTTCACTTGTATTTTAAGGTTTTTTGTTTCTTTGTTTGGAGTCTATAAATGGTGCTCAATAACAAGGTGTTTATCAGATGAAGCTTTATGATTATGTACTCCTGTATGACAGACAGCCATCACAGGACTTGTCATGGTGCTGAATTCATATCACATTTTATCTTACTGATCACAGCAATCAATACGTTTGCTTCCTGTATAGTAAAATTGGGTTCCTTGATTTTATAACTTATTAAAGGCAAATGTCTGTGTTTTTGCACATCATGCCTGCATTTGTTTCTTATCTCGACTGCACTTGTCCCCCACCCCCAGCCTGAACTTGAGCAGATGGAAGGACGTCCTATCCTCACAAGGCCGGGGGCCAGAGGGGGTACCTGGGGGGGGGTCACCACTAGGCACTGAGCCAGGACCCTGTGAAGGACAAGGGGCCTCCAGCAGGACCCATCCATCTCCTAGCTGCCCATGGAGTCGGCTCTCTAGGCAACATGACTTAGCCACAGCCCCAAGGACACCTTTAGTTCAGAGAAGGGATAAAGAGTCTCCAGACACCTTCCCTCCCTGCCTGCAGCCCCTTCTCTCCTAGAGTTAGGGCTTCCAGGAATAATACTAGATGCTGTGTTAAAGTTGAATTTCAGAGAAACGATGCATAATTTTTTAGTATAAGTATGTCCCATTTTTATCCTAAAAAGTTTTTCATTGTTTCTCTGAAATTCAAATTTAACTGAGAATCCTGTATTTTTATCTGCTAAATTTAGTAACCCTACCTATAATCAGTATTTCACTTTTACAGACACGTCCCTTTACTATGGCCCCAGGTGTAGGGGAGGAGGGAGACTGAAGGGTGGAGGAGGACACTTCTCCTGACGCCCAGGCCAAGGAGGAGACCGTCGATGTGTGTCACTACTGGAAAAAGGGAACAATCAGAAATTGTCCTCGCTTGTACAGGAGTTGAAGGTAGCTTTGGAATGCACTGGATTTCTCATTTGTTTTTCATCGTAATTTGTTTTGACTCTATTTTTATATCCAGTTAGTCCTTTATAACAGAGAAGAGGAAGTTGGAATGGGTGTGTGTGAGCGTGTATGTTCTGCGTGGGGGAGGAAATGCAGCTGGTTTAGCAGAACTGGCTGAGACGAAATATTAGCACAGTTGTTCATATCCAGATAGCCTGGGTTAGAAAGCATGCCTGGGTTATAGAGGGAGTGATAAGGAAGGCCTGATCTGTGCTTCTGAAGAATGTGGATAAATGATTACGAGGAGCCAAATGATGTAATTGCAGAGGTTCTGGCTACCACCCTGTCCTCTGTGCACTATGGAAGTCCCTGACTCCCAGGCACAGGGCAGCCATGCGTGGTCACACCCAACAGCTAGGAGTGGAATGGCTGAATCATATGGTAGACGTTTAACTTTTTAAAGAACTGTCAGATTGTTTTGTTGTATCATTTCATATTCCCACCAGCAGTATTTGAGACTTCCAGTTCCTCCACATTGTCACCAACACTTGATATGGTCAGTCTTTTTAATTTTAGCTATTCTAACAGATGTGTGGTTGTATCTCATTATAGCTTTAATGTGCATTTCCCTACTGAATAATGATGTTGAGTATCTTTTCATGTCCTTATTTGCCAGATAGATAGATACATAGATAGATACATAGATACATAAAGATAGCTATAGATAGATGATATAGATATAGATATATATAGATATGTAGATATCTTTGCCAAATTTTCATTGGGTTTTCTTAGCTAGTTTTGAGAGATCTTTATATATTATAAATACAAGTAATTTATCAGATGTTTGCTTTGCAAATATTTTCTACCAGTTTGTGGCTTATCTTTTCTTTCTCTTAACAATGTCTTTTGAGAAGCATCATTTTTTATTTTAATAAAGTTCAGTTTATCAATTTGTTCCCTTATGGATTGTGATTTTCATGTTGTATCTAAGAAATCTTTGCCTAACCTAAGGTCACAAAGATTTTCTTCTGTTTGTTTTTGTAAGTTTTATATTCTTAGCTTTTACATTATGTCTGATATTTTTTGTTAATTTTGGTGTATGAAGTATGGATCAAATTTCATCTTTTTCTTATTCATATCCAAATGCAGCACCATTTGTTGAATAAACTATGCTTTCTCCACTAAATTGCCAAAGGCCTTGAAGATTTCCCTTTTTTCCCCC